CATATATTTATATTGTATATATCAAAAATATATCAAAAAATGCATGTGGGTACTCAAATGAAAGCTCTTGATGAATGTAACATCGGGATGAGCTTATATCTTTAAAAAGGTCAATAGTTAAGAAGCGACCTTGTATCTTATGAACTATTGACATTTTTAATGATATAAGCTCATCCCGATGTTACACTCATCGAGACCTTTCATTTGAATACCTACATCAATATTTCATATATTTCATATATTTATATATATATATGTATATATGAAAAATATATCAAAAATGCATGTGGGTACTCAAATGAAAGCTCTTGATGAGTTTAACATCGGGATGAGCTTATATCTTAAAAAACGTCAATATTCAAGACAGTACAGTGCAATTTAACAAAAGTCATAATTTAATAAACCAAAATTTCAATTTTTTATATCTCACAAGTCACAGCGGTCACGTAGTGACTGCAAGATTGCTATTGAAAACTAATTTAACATATATTTAATCATTTTAATAATTTTATACCAAGTGAATTATTAAAAAAATATAAAATGCAATTTTTTTGAATAAAATAAAAAAATTGTCTAGTGACTGCTTACTTAAATATCCTTAAAATATAAATAAAAATAGTGAAATGAATATTAAACTATTATTATTAGAATAAATAACGAATAAGCGTTTAATGGAGCAAGAAATGTAGCGAATGCTGTTGATGTTTTAAGTAAAGAGTAGTAAGTAATATGAAGAGAATGAAATAAGCTCTAGCTCAACTCTGAGAATAAGAGAAGAAATAAAGCGCATGCGTATCTGACTCCGAAAAATTATCGTAGTAAGAGTAAAAGAAAAAAAAATATAACGATGAACTCGGCGAATTCGACGGCAGGCGTCGCGTTCGCTTGCGGCTTGCGCCCTCGCTGGGAGACCGTTTTAGACCTAAGAGGCGGCCTCTACGGTGAGGAGAGAACGGGTTGTCGTCCCAATCGTCGGGGTCTCGAGCTTTTGCTCGGGAGGTGTGCGAGGGTGTCAGATAGAATACGTCATACGCAACTCATCAACGTTATCAAACATTTAGATACTGAAATCGCCTACTGCTCTATATAGTGAGTGGTTATTATTTATTAAACTGTGTTTTATTTATTTAGATATCTTCACCGTAGATATAAACAAGGAAGTTCTTCTTTAAGTAGTATCAAGTATTATAAGAATAAGAACAAGAACAGAACGGGAACGAGAGTTAAAGTAATAGTGCACCTAGGAGAAGAAATAGCTGAGACGAAAAGAAGAAATAAAGTGAATTAATTTAAATAAAAAAAAAAAAAAAAACAAATAGGTTATAAAAAAAAAAAAGTGATATGCTGAGGTTAAGAATCAACAACCAAAACATCTAGGCGGCATGACCTTAGCAGGTAAAAACAAACACTTGTTTCTTCTTTATTACTTAATAGAATTATTTTGATGATTTTTAATTAAATTGAAAGATATTTTACAATTATTTTTTTTAGAAAAGAAATTTTTTAAATTATTATTATTATTATTATTATAAAGATGTGGAAATTAAAAAAAATATTTTTTAAAAGAAGAAAAAAAATTGTGTAGAAATTAAAAAGAAAAAAATACATTTGTATAAATTTATTTTTTTAATTACTAGAAATTTTATTAGATTTATTTTGATGATTTTTAATTAAATTAAAAGACATTTTACAATTTCTTTTTAAAGAAGAAGAAATTTTAAAAAATTTAAGTGAGAAAATTATTATTATTATAAAAATGTGGAAATTAAAAAAAAACCTATGATTGAAATTTAAAAAAATATTTTTTTTTTACAAGAAGAAATTAAAAAATTGTGTGTGAATTAAAAAAAAAATTATGATTGAAATTTAAAAAATATATTAGTATAAATTTATTTTATAAAAACTAGAAATTGTTCAAATATTTAATAATATCACTAAAAAAAAAAAATATTATCCAGAAAATAATTTTTTGGCTGAAGAATTTGTTAAAATGAACAACTTAAATTTAATAATACTAAAGTTAGTCGACGTTTTTAATATTTTGATTTTTTTTTTAATAATTAAATTAAAACAAAAAAATATTTTTTAAAAATTGCACTTACAGTTTTTCAGGTTTTTTGTAATTTTTTCGATAAAAAAAAATTCTAAAAATTTTTTATAAATCGGCTAATTTAATTTTCATTTAAATTTATTAATTTTTTGAGAAGAAAATAGACATTAATAATTTTATTTATGATAAATAAAAATTATTTTGATCTATTAGAATAATTCTTCAGACAAGAAAATAAAATTTCAATTAAAAATGTATCAAAAAAATTTTTTAATACTATAATTTTTTCTCTTAATGCATAATAATTATTTAAAAAAAAATTGAATCAAGTTTATTTTTTAGAATAATAATTTGAACTGTTTTTAAAAAGACTCTTTAATTTAGCCGTGTGTATTAATAGAGATAGATCTGATGGGTTTGACACCAGGCTGACATTAAAAAAGTAATCCAGTAAATCCAGTGTTTCAGAAGTGAAGATAAAATTGATTGATCCAATTTTCTGTTATGCTGAAGAAGAAGAAATAAGAAAAAAAAAAGAGTTTATTTACGTTTGTTGAATGGTCTTAAATAAAGTATTTTCTCAGCCAATTTGAGTATGGGATTACTCACGTTCCCGGCAATTGGTGCCAAATGCTCACGAGCCTGCATATTTCTTCCCGGCAACTTTTAACGAATATGTTATAAGTTATGCATAAAATTTAACTAAGTATAAGTATGATGTAGGTGTGTATTTTATTTGTGATGTAGATCTATGCAAATAATAATGTCTTCTTAAACTCGGTATAAATATCATTTTTGCCAGAAGGGTGAGTTATTAAAATCGTGAAAATACCTGGACTCACGTACTCATTCTGGCTGACGACGTATTATATAGTATGAGCACGCGTTTTAGCTGCGGTGGGTCATTTAAAGGGTATTTTTAGATTGCCGGCGAGTCGAACTTGACGACTTGCTTGTCGAGGGCATTCTTGTGTAAAGAATTTTTTACACCACCTGTCAATCTTTTTTATTATAATTATTATGATAATTATTTATTAATTAATAAATAAGTACGGTAATAATGTCCAAGAATATTTATTTTTAGGCGGGAAGAAATCTAGTGAGAAGAAATGGGAGGACGAGGAAATAGTTGTCAGTGCACTTGCTGGGGAAGATGTAATTGTCGAGTTGAAATTAAACCCCGAAGATTCTCGAGATCCTCAACACTTTTTACTGTAAGCTATCAATTTTATATTTTTTACTAAAATAAAATTCAATTTTTATGATACGGAACTTTGAAGAGCGAATAGGTAAAAATACTACATTGATTAAAAAGTTGACTTTATTCTAGAGAAAAAGATACATAATTAAGAAATGACCTTGTATCTCGTGAACTATTGACATTTTTAAAGATATAAGCTCATCTTGGTGTTACACTCATCAAGACCTTTCATTTGAGTACCCACATCAATTTTTTATATATTTATATATATATTATATATATGTATATATGAAAAATATATCATAAATGCATGTGGGTACTCAAATGAAAGCTCTTGATGAGCATAATACCGGGATGAGCTTATATCTTCAAAATTGCCAATTATTAAGAATTGACATTGATATCTTGTGAACTATTGACATTTTTAAAGATATAAGCTCATCCTGATGTTACACTCATCAAGAGCTTTCATCTGAGTACCCACATCAATTTTTCATATATTTTGTATATTTATATATATATATATATATATATGTATATATGAAAAATATATCAAAAATGCATGTGGATACTCAAATGAAAGCTCTTGATGAGTGCAACATCGCGATGAGCTTAGATCTTTAAAATTGTCAATATTTAAGTATTTAAATATTTAAAATATTAAGTATTAAAACTTAAAATTTAAGTATTTTAATGGTTGATTAAATACAAAGAAATTTTTTTAAATTATTTTATTGATTCATTTCTTCTCTTGAATAAACTGAACTTTTTTATCACTGCACAAGTAATTTTTAGACACAATTTATTAATTTTTAGGATTTTAAGAATAATTATAGTCAATTAAATTAAAAAATCACAATAATTGTAAAAATTATTTGCAAAATTGTTCATATAGAATTGCTAAAATATTCTATGGGTAACTTTCTTCTTCTCTTCATTCTATTTTCTCGAATATGTTCCTCAATTTCTTCAATTAATACAAACTAAATACCTTTAAACAACACTAAAAATTTCCAAAATGATTTTTTTAAAAATCAACTAGTGTTTCTTCATACCTATAATTACTATCAGTCATTTCTTCCCCAAGAACTAAAAGAAAATAACCTTAATCCTTAAGAAGAAATCTTTATTTAAAAAAAATCATTTTGAAGAGTTAGAAAAAAAATTATCTTAGCTAAGAACATTCTTCCTCAATCAAGAATTTTTTTCTTTATTTTTTAAAGTACCTAAAATAATTTAAAATTACAGTTACTCCCCAAAATAAATTAGTTAAAATTAAGATTATTTATTGCAATGACCTTACTATTATTATCTACTATGCATATTATATACTCCGGTAAAACTCTCAACGCAACTTGATCTACGACACGATTCTTAAAGTTCTAATGAATAAAATAAAAGAGACTATAGTAGACTAGACTAGACACCTTGTGACGATAAAAAAGAAAAAGAAGAAGAAGAAATGAGATAGTTTCAATAAATAAAGAGACAATAAAAAGAGAAGAAAGATGATTACGAAAGGGAGACTTGTATGACGTATCTGAGCTTGTGTTGCTGTCGCGGCGGCTAAATTCGACGATGTTGAATCTCAGATCTCAGTGATTGAAACGAGAAGCTGAAGCAGGCTCTGAGGAGCTGCCCCTCTACTTACTAGCCGAGAAAGAGAGCACCCGGGATAGATCTTCTCGGAGATGATCTAGGAATTCTCAGTTGTGGCTCAGCCAGATCGCCGATCATCGATTTCCCTTTTTTTAATTTAATTTTTATTTCTTCATCCTCAATTTTGTATCTGGATTTAAATATTTATATTCTTCTCGGGTTATTTTAAAAACAAAGTTATCTATTTAAATATTATTATCAATTCTTATTTCTCCCTTTATTTCACTTGCCTTGACATCTTCGTTATGTCAACTAACTGGGCGGTCTCGTTCTTATTTAAATGTGTGGGCGGCGTGCGCAGTAGTACGCTGGCGCGAAGCTAACCGATTGACTGACAGTCAAGCGGGGGCGACGAGGCCGGCTGATAACTTTTAAACTATTTAATAATTTGCAAAACGGGTGCCTTCATTTGATAATTATTTCTTCTTTTTATTTTTCATTGCTTTGCTTTGATTTTATCGATGAAAAATTCCCGACCGAAATTTTAGATCGATTGAATGTTACGTAACTTGGTTTTATTTTTTCATGACTAAAAATGCGATGATTTTTTTTTAGTTTATTAAAATGAGGACTGTGTTAATGAGTGGTGCAAATGAATCACCTGGATAGTTTTTTAAACTTTTTTTGTCGAATGGTTGTGGGGCCAATTGAGTCGTTGATATGGGGAGTCAGTGCTGTAAGTGTGAAAAACAGAATAAAAATCAAAAGGTGACAGGATTTAAATTGGATTCTTCTAAATTTCGGTATGATTTCTTCTTTAATTCAATTTTTATTTCTTCCCAATCAAAATTTAAAACATTAATTTTTTTCAATCCTATTTCTTCTTACTTAAAACTTTAAATCTATAATATTAATTGTTATTTCTTCTTAATTATAATTTAAAATCTAGAAAATTATTTTTTTTAATCGTTTTTTCTTAATTAAAAATCTCAAATATTAATTTTTTAAATTAATTTTCTATTTCTTCACAATTAAAATCTTAAATAGTATTTCTTCTTAATTTAATTTTTATTTCTTCCCAATTAAAATTTAAAACATTAATTTTTTTCAATCATATTTCTTCTCAATTAAACTTTAAATCTATAATATTAATTGTTATTTCTTCTTAATTATAATTTAAAATCTAGAAAATTATTTTTTTTAATTGTTTTTTCTTAATTAAAAATCTAAAATATTAATTTTTAAATTAATTTTCTATTTCTTCCTAATTGAAATTTAAAAACTAAACAATAAACTTTTTTAATTCAATTTTTATCTCTTCTAAATAAAAACCTTAATTATTTTATAACTATTTTATAACTTATAATTATTTTATAACTCAATTTTTATTTCTTCCCAATAAAAATTCAAAATATTTATTTCTTTACTCAATTTTCTCTTTCTTCTCAATTAAAATTAACAAATTTGAAAAATAATTTTTTTTATTTAAAAATCTAAAATATTAATTTTTTAAATTAATTCTCTATTTCTCTCAATTAAAATAAAAAATCTAGAATATAAATTTTTTAAAATAAAAAATCCAGTAAATAAATTTTCTAAAATTCCATCGAAGCAAAATAAAAGTTGATTTATTAACTGACATGCGTTGACAACAAGTAAAAAAATTCTTTGATGTTGAAAAAAGATTTATAGCTTCATTCAACTGCAGACAAATTTATCCAACTTTACAATAAATAAAAAGTAATAATTATGTTATTAAATAGAAAATTTTGTCTATCAATTTGAATCAATAGTACCAGCAAGTTGATGAAGATATATTGCCGTATGTTGAAAGAAGAAATAGTCTGATTCAAGGGTAGACAATGACACGTTGCTCTAGAAGAATATATGCTTGTTGGCGAGGATCCCTAGATTTGATTTTATTTTCTTTACCGGCAAGTTAGCCGAAATTCGCAGTGTTATGTTGTGTGGTGTGTACTATGTGCTAAGTGTAACACAACTGTACACATTAGACCAGCAGACGATGGATGAACGAGCAGCTAGATCACCACTGCGCTAGAAATATCACGGACTAAACTAAGGGACGAGGGGGATTATACTGCCGATGGTGCAATCGTGTTTCTTAACAGTGCATATAAACTTCAATGATCATGTCATGATCAATAATCAATAAATCACATGTCATATATTTTTATATACTTTATAAAATTACTTTATAGAATTATTATGAACATGTTTCTATAATTACACTGCCACTGTTGGTAGTTCTGCTTAACCAACACTTTATTAATAATTATGACGGTATTCTAAAATTATTCAGCTAATTTAATTGGAATAAAAATTTTCAGTTTCCGTGGAGACCAATTGATGCCCTCAGAGCGCTACAGTGTTCAGCCACGTGGAAATGTTGTCCAGTTAACGTTGAAACAGTCCCAGAAAGACGATACCGGTCACTACTCGTTGGTTGCCAAAAAATTGACGACTAATTACTCTGACAGTAACGATATTAGCATTGAAGGAGTTAGAAAAAAAATACGAATGAATATTCGCGACGCCAGTGATGACCCTGAAGAGGGTGAACCTCCGATATTTGTACGAAGGCTCACGGACTTGGCTGTTAAAGTTGGTACGAGGACGCGGTTTCTTGTTGAAATACGGAGCTCTTCAAGTCCAAAGGTAAGTCCTAAAAATAATTATGTTATTTTTGTTAAATTATGCTCAAAATAACAGGCTTGTGGTCATTTTTAAAACTTTTTCTTAATGAAGAAATAAGGAGGTTTTTTTTTTTTAAGTTTCTGGGCTGTATAAATAAGATTTTGCTTTGTTAAATAATGACTTTTGTTAAGTTGCACTGTTATTTTCTTAACTATAGATGTTTTTAAAGATATAAGCTCTTCCCGATGTTACAATCATCAAGAGCTTTCATTTGAGTACCCACATACATTTTTGATATATTTTTCATATATACATATATATAATATACATATATATATATATATATATATATATATATGAAAAAATGCATGTGGGTACTCAATGAAAGCTCTTGATGAGTATAACTTCACAAGATAAAAGGTCATTCCTTAATTATTGACATTTTTAAAGATATAAGCTCATCTTAATGTTACACTCATCGAGACCTTTCATTTGAATACCCACATCAATTTTTCATATATTTATATATATTATATATATGTATATATGAAAAATATATCAAAAATACGTGTGGGTACTCAAATGAAAGGTTTTGATGAGTGTAACATCGGGATGAGCTTATATCTTTAAAAATATCAATAATTCACAAGATACAAGGTAATTTCTTAATTATGTATCTAGAGATAGAGAATTTTCGAATGCAACCTAAATATTTATCATAATAAATTGATCATCTGAAGAATTTTATAGTAATTAATGATTTATTACTAGAATAAAAATATCGATAGATAAAACATCTAAAGTTCAAAACGTAATTGTTAATTTAAACTGAATAGACAGTGAATAAAATACCCGGAAGACGGAGCTTGAAGAGTCACTGACATGCATAAATTTGGTCTAACGTTATATCCATAGAGCAGCACATTCTGAGTTGTTAGTGGTTGAAATCCGTGTGCATAACGAATTGCCGGTAGTATAGTACGGTAGTCTATGCGTCTGGGACAAATCTGTACCATACTATAATAATAATAATAAAAATAACAATAATAATAATATTATAATATAATGTATAAAGATAAATCGGCTTGTACGTGCATTTACGAGGTACATGAACTCTCTCCATAGTCTTCCGCATTGCTTGCGCCAATCGGGAAATGTTTGAGTCACAATGTAATCATTAGAATCTAATCTTGGCATGTAGCTGATCATTTTGCTGATAAATCTATAAATACAAATTTTCTTTTTTTAAATTTTAAATTCATTATTATTTACTGAAGAAATAATTATTGCGCATTATCGACTTCAAATAAGATCCCTTTGTCTTATTTTATTGATGAATAAATTGATTATCCACCAGATTGATTATTTTTATAGTCTATTTTAAGAATTTAACAAGTATATTATTAAACTAAGAACATTTCAATAATAAAAGTAAAATTTTACAGGTAACATGGCACCGAAACGACCAGCAGATCCAAGCTGGCTCAAGATTTTCCTTCGTTCACGAAGGAAACTTCTACTGCGTCGACGTAGCTCCAGTGATGGTCGAAGACCAGGGCCACTGGACCTGCATGGTGGAAAATGTATACGGAAGATCATCATGTGTGTCTTGTCTCAGCGTTATAGTGCCCAAAGCTTACAAGCGTCCAGAATTTGTCGAAGAACTTAGAGCGATTCTCACAGAAACTGGCACAGTTTCGCTGGAGTGCAAAGTTATCGGCGTTCCAACCCCAGTTCTCAGGTGGTTCAAAGACAGCAAGGAGATCAAAGCTGGAGATGTCTTTGCGCTCACTGCTAATGCTGATGATCCGACTTCTTTGGGGACTTACACCTGTCAGGCGGACAATTGTATGGGAACTGCATATTCTTCTTCCAAAGTAAGTCAATTTTTATATATTATTATTGGAATTGTACTCTGAAAAAAAAAAGATATCAAGCTAATTAATTTTTTTGCCAAGATTTATATTAATAAATAATAAAATAAATTATAAAACTCTAATCATTGATTAACAATTAAGTTATTTTCTTAATTCAATTTTTTTAATATGTACTATCAATTTAAAAATAATTTATTGAATTAAAAAATAGTTTTTTTTTTTTTTAAGCCAAGAACAAAATGTTATGTAAAATTTAATTATTTGTAATTGAACTGAATGTTTGATTTAGGTTCATGTGGTAGGAAGAGGAAGCAGAGAAGGTTCTCTAAGGCCTGCGGATACACTCAAACCTTCTGGACCTCTCCCGGTGTTCAAAAAAATTTTGAACGACGAATGTTGTAGAATCGGCGACACCATAACACTAACCTGCCAAGTCCAAGTTCCTCCCTGGCCCAAAGTGATCACTTGGTACAATAAAGAAGGCAAAGTGGAACCGAGCGAAAAGTACCATGAAATAGAAGACGGGTTAGGAACTTACTCCATTGAAATACGTGGTGTTGAAGCTATGGACGAAGGCGAATGGAAATGCGTTGCTACTAGCGCTGAAAATGTTATGCAATTCACGACTTGCTATGTCGCAATGTCCGGTAAGTTTTACATCATAATTATCAGTTGTCAAAGAAATCCAGGTTTGACTTTGTAACTTTATAATTTTTTTCCAAACGATTTTTATTCATTAAAATAGTTAAATTACAATTTTAAAAAATATGAGTCATCTTTTCTAATTATATTATGACTTATGACCATTCATTATTTCATAACAAGATTTTGTGCAAAATATTCACATTCATAAAAAAAAAAAAAAAAAAAAAAAAAAAAAATGAATTTAATTCAAGAAAAAAATTCTTGAACTTAAAAATTTTTTATTAGTTTGAATAAATTTTACTTTTTCTAAAAATTTTTCATCTTGATTTAAGAATTGAAATTCTTAAAAATGATTTTTTTGTTTCAAAATTTTTTTTCTCAAATCAATTAAATTTTTTATCCCAAATCTTACTTCCAGTCCCCAAAAACTACAGAATGCCCCGTTTCATGGAGAGTCTCAAAGCAGTTTTAACCGAAGAAGGTCTTGTGTCATTTGAGTGCAAAGTCGTAGGCTTTCCCACCCCATTCCTCAGATGGTTCAAAGACGGCCAAGAATTGAAGCCCGGGGATGTTTACCAGCTCACTGGGACCAATTCTTTAGGCTCTTACTGCTGCATCGCCCGAAACTGTATGGGCGAAGCTAAAAGCACAGCAGAGCTCACCGTGGAGGACATTCAGAACCAGTTAAATGAAGAAGAACGTCTTCAATTACTGAGTTTCAACCAAGTTCCCAAGTTTATCAAAGGCCTGCGGAGTTGCGAAGCTCGGATCCACGAAAATTTCACTTTCACCGTTCAAGGTAATAGTCCAAAAATTTAATTTCTTCCTTAATTAAAATAAGTGATTCAGGTTATTATGGATCAATTCTTTTTATGTCAATTTGTTATTTTCCATTCAGCGACGTTCCGCCATGAATCATGGCTTCTTCAGACATCTATCACATACAAACATAATTACACATTAGCAATATTATAAGCATTTTACATAATATATTTTTATACAAAACTATTTTAAACAACAAAAAGAAAAATATTCTAATGTGTAGTTATGTTTGTATGCAATAGATGCCTGAAGAAGCCATGATCCATGGTGAAACGTCGCTGAATTGAAAATAAAAAATAAAAAATTGACATAAAACAATTGATCCATAATAACCTAAATCACTTATTCCAATTATATTCACTGGGATCTTAATTACTTCGTACGATGATTTCTTCTTTAATTTATTTTATAAAAAATTAATTTACAGTAACAGTATCTCCCAAACCGACCCTATCATGGTTCCGCGACGACGAATTAATAACCTCAAGTGATAAATACAAAATAATCCAAGAAGTTTTGGGCAATTGTCACCTGGAAATCCAAAAACTAGAATTTTCTGACCAGGCTGAGTGGAAATGCATAGCCGAAAATGACTTTGGTCACAGCATAACTTCCTGTTTTTTAAAACTAATAATCCCGCGGCACTTTAAGAAGCCTAAATTTCTCGAAAGCCTACGCGCCATTTTGTCGGAAGAAGGCGCAGTTAATCTAGAGTGCAAAGTTATCGGCGTACCTCAGCCAGTACTAAAGTGGTACAAAGATGGCGCTGAATTAAAACCGGGCGATATTCACCGTATAATTTCGGGTCAAGACGGAACTTGTTGCCTAGGAACTTACACATGCGAAGCGACAAATTGTATGGGCTCGGTAAGCAGCTCCGCTTCGCTACTAGGCTTTGAGGACCGCGTTTCCCTAAAAAAAGAAGAAACACAAGAGCCAGTGTCTCCCCCGCTCCACGAATTGGCTAGAAACTTATCACTTTCCACAATTCATGAAGAAAGAACGTCCCAATTGTACGACACGCCTCAAACCGACCATTCAATCACAATGGACGATCGCGGTGAAGTTTCCTTTAGTTTCGACGGCAAGGAAGTCTCCGTAAGCCTTTACGAGACTCCGGATCTTACCGAAGAAGAAGCTATTCAGATTGTCGAGATGTACGCTGACCAATTGTCCGAGCACATTACAGAAGGGAATATAATAGAGCTTCCTCCTATGCGCTTTATGAAAGAAACTTCAACTTCCGGGAAGTTATTAATGGAAGCGGTTGTTATTGACGTCTCTTCGGATTACTTTGTCGCGGATGAAGAAGCTGATGATTTAAGAACAGAAGCAGATGTGGAAGATGTGTCTATAATGGACGACCAGATGCACAGCATTCTTTCTTCATATCATGATCATTCTGGTGAAAGAACTCCAGTTGGTTCTCCCGTTGGTCCTCCAAGACCTCCAAGGAAGAAAGAAAGGTCTGGCAGTGGTTCTTCAAAGAGCGAAAAGAGCGAAAAGAGCGAAAAGAGCGAAAAGAGCGAAAAGAGCCAACATAGAGTCTTAGATTGGTCTGAAAGCTACCACAGCGCTAAAGAACCCTCAATTCAAGCCCAATTGTCGCTCCAGAGTCAGGACAGTGTTGACGCCTTTGCTGACGCTTTGTCTTCTGATGGACTAGCCAAGGTTTCAAGGGAGTACGACAGAGAAATAGCTGCGATTATTAGTGAGGCAGAAAAAGGACTTAGTGAAGAAGTTTTTGCTGCTGCGTTGGAGGAATCTGATAAGAAGAAGAAGAAGAAGAAACGCTCTAAAGCCGGGACTCCGATGTTGTCTTCTAAAACTAGCTCTGAAGAATCTTTCACTGTTAATGCGGATGGAAATGAAGTGGGGAAGAGTAAAAGAAGTAAGGAGGGAAGGAAAAGAGATCGGAAAGACAGCGCGGGAAGCAATGGAAGTGGTAAACAAAGAGGAAAAAGGACTAGAAGTCGGGAAGTGGAGAAGAGTTTGATGATTGAGGATATAAAAGTGGAAAGAAGCGAAGAATTTAAAACTCCAGAGTTGTTTAGTCAAGCGGAGGTTAAGTATATTGATGAGGATGATAAATTGTCGACTGCTTCGTCATTCGCGACTGCTGGAGACCTTTCTGAGTCTAAATCTACGGCGAGGAGTCAGAAAGAACGGTTGTATGAACGGATTAGAAGTCTTCAAGGTCCTGTTCTTGTTTTAAGAGACACTTTGATTGACTTAGAAGGGATTTTGATGAGTTCTGATGATGAAAATTTGATCCAAGGACTAATTATTGAGAAAATTGTCAGACCTATTGAAGATATTTGTGAGCAAATGTCTGTTATTGAGTCTAAAGCTGTAAAATCTGCAGGAGACAGATCTTTTAGCCAAGGAATCAGGATTTCTTTGCTAGATTCGATTGGTGGACCTACTGAGGAACTGCTTAGAGGCATAGAATTGATAAAACGACACAGAGGCAGAACTTCTGAGGATCTAAAGTCTGATTTGATAGTCTTGGAGTCACTTACTGACCCAGTAGATGA